ATTACAGGTGTGCACCACCACGCCTGGTCTCAGGGACTGGCACGGCATGTGGTGCCAGAGATTGAACCTGGTCCCTGTGATTACCTAAGCAGGCGCTTAGTCTCCTGAGCTCTCTCGCCGGACCTTCTTTGGTTACTTACTAATCAGGCCACTTATCAGACTGACTGTAGTGATGCAGTTGGTAACCCTTATTTTTCCTCTCTCCCTCTCCCTCTCCCTCTCCCTCTCTCTCTTTCTCCTCCTCATACCAGGGATTGAACTCAGGACCTTGCACTTGCCAGACAGGTGCTTATGCCTCTGAGCTATATTCCCACCCCCCTTATTTTTCTTGATAATGGACCCAAAGCTCAAAAATACTGATGTTGGAAACGAATATATGTCAGAAAAAAGCATAAACTTTTTTTTTTTTAAATGAAAGGCAAAAATTCTCAACAAGTAGGGAAGTAAAAAGAACAGTTTTACTGTAAAGACTTAGTTCCTTAAGTAAAATGTCAAATTCACCTAAGGTGTCCATCAGAAAAATCTTGTTCTTAATCCCTCATCTTTTTGTGTGTGTTGGGGGGGGGGAGTTTTGGATTATTTAACTATTCTTTTTGTGTGCTACTTGTACTTTTCATTGTTTATAACAAATAAAAACTTTCCTCAACTTTTTTTTTTTACTTTGTACTTAAAATTTTTTCAAAGAAGCTTATAATTTAAAGGTTAGCTCTCTGGTGTTGTTTGGATGTGTATCTACACCTAAAGAAATAATTAGTTGTGGAGTAAGGGAACAAACAGAGAACAAATAGCAAGTCTTAAGAGGATTTTTTCTTTTTTTTGGACTGAGATTTCCAAGGCTCTAAATTAACTAACAATGGCCAGGGATTGACCCTAATTAATTATAAGTACCTCCTCTAAGAAGTTTGCTGTCACTTAAGACACTCTTTTAAATGTGTTTATTTTGAGTCAAGTCATGAAAGGAAAGTGTTTTCTTTTATATTAACCATAAAACAGTTAAGAACCACTTTGGGTTTCAACATAGCAGAATCCCTAAAGTTAAATACAACTGAGAAGAAAAGTTAAGTTTCTTTCTCAAAGAAGAAATTGAACATAAAACATAGCATTTCCTCTTTGTAACTGCTTCTCAAAGGACAGGAACAATCAAAATAAAGCAGCATGCTTTTGGCTAACTCAGGAAAGCTTTTTGTAACTGAGCACATTCCCAAGCAATTTGGTTTTGGTTTCAGGTCCTACCATTGTCATCAGGGTAGAAGTCTAAATCTCAGGTATGACTGTGGAACAAATGTATAGATGTTGACTTCGGAATCTAGTCTGGATTCCTAAGATCTTTGAACCATTTATTTTTCTCTTGAAAATGTTTCAAACCTAAGTGCATATACAAATACAATCCTATGAAAATAATATCCTATAATAGGGTGGTGAACCTATGTCACGAATGCTGCAGCAGACTCTTCGTATTACTGACAGCTCTAAAATTTTTGCCCCAAATCATTGTCCTGTAAGAATAAGATCCTGAAACATAATATGCTAGTCTCCAACATGGTCCTACTACATCTAAAAGTCACTTGCTTTGGAAGACACAGCTCAATCAATAGATGCATATAAAAGAGACACTTTGTACTCTTGGTCTCTAGTCACCTAAATAACAATAACAAAGTAAAACAACATATTCATGAATGCCAGAATTCGAAGTCATTGGAATTCACTGTGAAATACAGATATTTCTTATGTAATGACTACCTGTTAATGACTGTTTGGACTTAAAACCAAGGTATGCTGTTTAGACTTGCAACTTATTCATAGAGTTTAAATGTTGTTTTCACATTACAGTATGTCTTGTTTGTACAAATAATGTAATTTTTGCAGATTGTACTGTATAGTGCTGTAGTTTTATGTTCTGTTGTATGTTACCGTACTGTATGTAAGTGTTATGCAAACAAAGTCATGAAGTTGGAGTTTTCTTTGACTAGTTCTTTGTTCCAAATGCTGTAGTTTGCATACTATGTACAATTCCTCATTCCACAGCCAATTCACTTAACTATTTAGTTGCAGGAACTGAATGCGGTCATTAAATAAAAAATGTACAGTACAGGGCGTGCATACTAATACAGAAGTTATGATCTGAGGAAAATTGAAAGGAGTTATTAGAGTGGACAAAATAATCCTGGAAGGCCACCTGCCTCACAGTCTGTCTAAGATGGGCATTGGGATGGCGGATGTGTAGACTTACTGCTTGCTTATCCCCATTGAGAAAAGATAACATATCTTCTAAATGATTAGACTTTACACTTTAAAACTATTAGATATTTGGAATACATGAGATAAAAGTCTGAAGTATGACCAGTTATTTATTTAGTTTCCAACACTGTGGGAGGCGACAATGTGACTTTAGAATATACAATGCAGTATATAAAATATAAAGGTCCTTATACTACCTGTTTTTGTCATATTTTCAGAGAAAATGTGAGATGTTCAGAGAGTGCCTTTTTGGGGGAAGGAAATAATGACTAAGCCTCATTTAAAGTTGGTGCAAAACTCCATGCACCAGCTGAAGAGGGCTTTGAGCAGTCTAGGCTTTCTATTCGACTCTTTATTGTGGTGAGGGGCTCAGGATTACGTGACTAGAAAGGTTTAATAGAGCCTGAAATTACTGACCACACAAAGAGTTCAATTTTCTTTTGTAAAAGAATTTTGTACAAAGGTAACGACAGTCCCTTTTCTTCATGAGTCTGTTATGAGTCATTAAGGAATCAGACTTTGGTCTGAACCAGAGAGTAGCCACATGATCTCTAGTAAGTTTATCTCTGTTAGCAAGAGTTATCTCACCCAGGTGAAAATAGCGGTCAAATACACACTGGACAGGATAAATCAGATGGATTCAGGACTCCTGAAAAGCAAGTCAACAGCAAAGGGAATAATAAATCTTAAGATATAAACAATGACTATATTGAGAGCAAATTGGTCAAGCAATGGCCGTGACTCATCCACATGGCAACACTGACAAAAGGCCTACAAACTGCAGTACAGGGTTTCAGGGTAAATCCTGAGGGGATTTGGCAGACCTTATCAGATACAAAAGTTACATTCCTTGTTATATAGGTCTTGCCTTATCTTGGTCTTAACCATCCAGTAGAAAAGTATAAAAATGAAGTATAAAAAGCAAAGCCATATTAATATGCTGAGCTGTAAAAGGCTCTAGTCAACAACTTCTGACACTGCCAGTCTTATGATGGAAAACCCACGACTATTATGGACTACTGGACTATATTGGAATATTTTGCTGAATTCATGCACCTACAATATTTAAATGACAATGGAATACCCATCTCTGACAAAACTAAACAAAAAAGGGAGATACAAATGAATGACCATTTTGTATCTGTATACTCAGAATAGTTAGGATAAATATACAGCTGCATTCTCTTAATTCAATGAATAGAGAGATTTGTTCTGATAGGGTTTGTAGACAGGGTATCTTGTCTGCCTCTTGTGCAATGAATACCCACTAAGACAACAATACGCAATGTATTAACTATTGAAAATGTGCTAGTAATCAGTTTTGACAATGTCTCATTGCTATTGGTTTCTCAATAAATTATTTAAAAAATAAATGAAGTTTTCATATCCACTCTCAAAAAAACAAAAAAAGACTGTATTAAGCCTCCAGAGTCATATTTTCACTGATAGGTAAAATACTGCACATGTGTAAATTCACAAATGTAACTGTGTAACAAAGACTTCAGATGAGGTACAGGAGTGAATCTAGAAGTGAGAAGAGAATCCAGAGAGAGTTCATGAAAGCCACCAAAAGACTCATAGGCAGCACATGCCCATGCTTGGGCTCCATCCCTTGGATGTTTGTCCCAGTCTTTAAAAACAGAAAAATTAAATCTCAGTTCAAATTTGTCAATGGAACCTGGCCGCAGCCCTGTGTTGATATGTGTCAGAGGCCTCCAAATAAACTCTTTTTCTTTCTTCATGATTGTATATGAAACAATAATCTCTCCCCCATGATTTAGGACAAAAGTATGATGCAAATTTTGTTATAATACCTCATATGAGCTAAAAGGAGAGGTGGCCATTGTTATCTCCTCTTCCCATACAATTTAATTTTTTCAGTAATTTTCTTTTAACCAGTGTCTGGGTTGAAATGGGTCACCAGCCTGAAGAACAAAATACAGAAACCCAGAAGCAATATCCTTAGGTAGGTAGAGGCTCAAGAAGAGCCCTAAGTTGGATTGTCTCTGTGTGGACACAATGTCTTCTCAGATGTTCTCCATCAGAGTTAGATTGGATCTCTATTGATTTCTGTGATACCCATTAATATTTTGGCTTCTGCATCTAATTTTTTCTCAGGAGAAAAGAGTGTTTTTCCATTAGAGTGGCAATGAAAATGATCAAAGTAACCAAGATTTACAAATCTGAAGTGCTCTTTCTGTCCTCTTCTTTCTATAAATTTTTCATTAGTTACCGTGTAAGAATAAGTATTTCCAAATATTACCTAGATGTAACCCTTGACTCAACATATAGGAAATTGTTAATTCTTAAATTTTGTGAAATAACAGTATTTCAGTTGGTTTGAATATGGCTATTTCTATAGTCATGTACTCAATTTTCAAAAACGCTTCCATCTGGTCTTATGGTTTTGCATCATAAATGGGATAGGCTGAGCAGTGGTATTACATTTTCATTTGAAACATCAATTTTTAATAAAAGTCAATAATGCTGAATAAGGTGGTATTTTGGATTTAAACCATAACAGGCTATGAAAAAAATCAGAAAAGGTCAAACTCTCTTAGCTTGAATATATTTATTGATTTTATAAATGAACTTTAAAAGTGTACTATAATCTTATTGTGATGCTCAAATAAGCAATTTAAGACTTTAATGGGATTACATTTTAGCTCATATTCTGTAGTTTATAGCTATTTTTTATTAAAAGTAGACAAAGTTTAATCTTGAAGTTAACTAACTATAGCTTCATAATTATTGATTTGTAGATATCCATTTTGGACCATTTCTGAAGCTGAATTCAGAACAATTCTAAGGTAAGCTATCACACCTTCATGTATATTTGTTAATTTTAAGGATAAAATATATAGCAAAACTATATGAAATGGAATATTTAATCACTTTTCTAGCTGTTGAAGACCCAGTAATACTCTGGTCCATGATATTGAGTAGGCACTCAATGATATTGTTTCCTTTTTAACTTTTTATAATATTTCTCTGTTTACAAAGATAATCAAAAGGCATGATGAACTGCTTGTGCCCTCAGCAAGTTACCTGTAGAGCATACAAGAGGCCATTAGCAACCTGTTTGCTTGTACAGTGAAGCACTGTTAAGAGAGGCCAGAACCCAGTATAGGCCAGAATGATGTGGACATGTAATGAAATTATTAATAATTATCAATAAGAATAATGAAAAAATGAATACCACTTGCATTTGATATAATTCAGGCATGATACCAAGCACCTTAAATACTGCATAGTATTTAAGCCTCCCGCAAGCCTATGTCACAAAATTTTTATTATCATTTTTTTGTCACATCCCAAAAGAAATGTGAGAGGTAGCTCAGGTTATGCAGCAGTAAGGGACACACTTTTAAAAGTCCATCTGATCCAGGTTTGATTTCCTCTAACTTCGTGAACTACCTGGGAAAGGCAAGCGTGCAGTGTTATCATGGAAAGATTTTGGGTGGAGGAAAAGATGAGCAGGCCGTACTGGCCTGTCTGATTACTACCGACCGCGTGAAGGAGCTGATCGAGGAACGCCGTGATGGGGAAGGAAGCATGCTTGAGGAAAATTAGTGGATGATGGAACCTGAGTAGATGGCGGTATGTGAACTTCCTCTGTTGCCAAGAGTGTGATTGGTCTAGTTTCTTACCTGGTCCTCTATGTCTAAGGTTAGGCAAAATGCAGGGCTGTCTTGTGTACTTTCATAAGTGAGTAAAGTAGTCTGCAATGTGATGGAGTAAGCAACCAGCAAAAAGCAACAAAGAAGTACTGGAATTCCCTCAATCTGCTGGTCTGCGAAGTGAGAACCAAATCCTAATCCAATCAGTGGGCAGAAAGAGGAAGGTGCTGAGACTGTTGTTGGGACACAAGGCAAAGTGCATGACATTGATGAGATTAGGTAAAAGCAATAAAGGAGGCGCAAGAGCATGTAGTTTTCAATTTCCTTCGATAATGAAAGAGAAAATTTTCAAAATGGTTTGAAATGGTAACAAAGACAGTTTTGTTGGAGAAGATGAGTTTGGTTTCCCTATTTTGCTTTTGAAGTATCAAAGGGACCCTGGTTCATGTATCCTATAGGATATAGGAATTCAGTGAAGGAAAGAGGCAATGATTGGGTCTTAACTCCATTAAAGGCTTTATGGGGGAAATTTCTTTGAAGAAATTAAAATAAAAATTGAAGAACATGAGCTGGTATTTCAAACAATTTTCAGGTGAATTAAGAAAATAAAATAACACTAAACTTGAAGCTATATATGAAATGAATTTTTAATTTTTTCTAATTTTTAAAATCAGAATTATTCATTTCCTGGCAATATAATGTAGATTGTTAAAAACTGTAGAATAAAGGGTGATAATCAAGGTTCTTTAATAAATTACCTAAAGCAGGACCTGTAAACATTTATTTCAATTTGTTACTGGTAGTGTGCCTTTTTCTCTTTAATTTGGTATTGCTGTCAGTCTATTAACAATGTTTCTGATAAAAAAAATTAAAACCCATATATTTGAGAATCAAAATATTCATTCATCAATTACCCCCATGAAATATGTAAATTAGTAAACAAACAAGATAAAGCATGGTAAGTCTTCTTAGGCCCCAAGTTCATTTTGGGCAATGTCTTTCAACGATTCAGTATTACAGAATAAACACTACTTTTTCTTAACATTGGTGAAAATACAGTATATGCATAATGTCGTTACAAATTTCTTTTTCTTTGCTATTCAGATTTCTTTTTTTTCAAGTTTTAAAAGTTCATTTTAATAAGAAAAAAGATAAAATGGTAATGAAACAGTTTCAAAACAGGTTAGTAGGACAGTTACAATAATTAATGCATTGCAAGTTGTTGTCTTCGTAGTAGTTATTCAGAGGACAAGATGCAGACATGATATCTTGTCTAAACATTATTAGTACAAACTTTCATTCTCAGTGAACTAAGAGAAAGTAGCTGTATATCTATGCTTCATTTCACTCATAGATTACAGTTTTGAAATATTTAATCAGAATTTATTAGAGGCTAAATTCTGAGCTAATCATTAAGAAAAACAGATATAGCCCTCTTTTCAAGATGATTACAAGGTAGTATGTTAAAAGCAGGTAAGTAGATAAATTATCACAGCGAAATGTACGACCCTGCTATGGAAGCCCAAAGGATGTTTTATTCGTTCAGATTGACTAAGTCATTGCTTCTGAATATCACTGGGGTGTAGGACTCTTTAGTGCACAAACCTCTAAGAGAAGATATAATTTCTCTCTGGAAGTAACACCTCACATGGTGCTATCAAGAGCTCAGGAAGTAAAGATTTAAAACGTTAAATTTACTGCCCATGGTCTGCTATTTTTTTTTTCTTAACTATCAGAAATCATCAAGAGTGGTACTTGATAAAATACTAAGAAGTTGAGTGGAAAAGCTATTATTTTGTTGACAGTTGTACTTAAGATAAAGATAATTTATTGCAAAGGCAATAAAATGAGTTGCTTGAATTTCTGAAAATAAATAGGATAGGTTTAAAAAGTTACACTAAAGGTTCCCTTTCTGGAAGGTGATAGATGGAAAACCCTAAAAACATGATTATAAAAAGCGCTGATTAAATCCTTCGCTAATCTGGCAAGAAAAGAAAGCAAAGAATTCAAAGGAAATAAAGATGAAATGAAATCTGGAGGCTTCAATGAGAAAAAAAAACATGCAAAGCTGGGAACCTCAGACAAAGCTAAGGCTGCCACCCTAAGTTGAATTTGGTAGAAAAGTGCTTCAAAGCCAGGCAGGGTTCGGGCAGTACTGTCAGGATCAAGGTTGGTATCTACAAGAAACACAGCTACCACTGAAGTCACACATCAAGGACAACTGTTGACTTAGATCTTTCTATTACCTGGACCATACAAATCTGCCCCTAGGATACAAAGATGTGAGTTAGCATTCATGTTCCTTTGGTTGCAGAATTCACCTCTGTGGTCCTATTGTAGGCGGCTAAGTTAGATAGAAATTGATACGCAGAAGAGAAGGCTTGGCCTGCCCGTGAAGTCGGCACAAAAATAGACATCAGCGTTTTGGCTGGAGGCACATCTGAAGAAAGCCAGCTCTCCAGATAAAGATGAAGTGTCCAGACCTCTGTGTTTCCTTGAAGGACAAACAATAACTTGGAGTTATACTGTGCTTAGCACCACTTGGTCCAGTAAGTCCAGAGAGGCATCAGTCACCCAGAGGGATAACCAGTTCCTTCTTGAAAATATCTTTGTTATTGCCATGTACCCTTGCTACGTGACTTGTTTTCCTATAGGATTAATATAAGCTAAGTGACAGTACTTGTAATCCCACAGGTTGATTGTAGTTTGACCCACACTGCACCCACGTTGTGGTTTTGCTGTATAAATAATTCTGATAAAACTCTTCTAACTTTTTCCTTTGGTTTGTGACTTCATTCCTTAATGTTGTGGGACCACAAATTCAAACATTTGATATCTAGCTGGTTGGCAATTATGTTTCTCTGACATCAGTCCAACAATCTTCATCTGGTAATTTAGGATGGTTCCAGTTCACAATCATTGGAAGGAAACAGAGTAAATCCTTTGCTACTTGAACCTAAATATAAAGTGTTTCAAAGACAAAGCTCTAAAGAAATAAGAGATTAGTTCAACATGAAAAATTATGTGGAAAAAAATAAATGAGAAGAAGCTAACAAAATATGGCACAAAAGGAGATATACGAAGATGTTAGGTATTGAAATTACCAGATGAAGAAAATCATCTGTTAATATTAAATTAATTTTCTATTTCTGTTTTACAAATTATCACAGAGGTATTGTCTTACATACGGGTATCATCTAAATCAGACAGCAAAGACGGGACAAAGATTTGAGTATGTTGATAGTTCTGTATGCCAGATGGCAAGTATGAACATTACCAGGTTAAGGTAAATGTGTTGTTAGGCTGTGCTTGTTTGTAGAGACTCAGGGAAAAATTGGTTTTTTGTTTTTTTTTACATTAATATTTTTGTCAGAGCTTAGTTCCTTATTATAGGTTTGAGCACCTTGAACTCTTGCTCCTGTGAGTGGAAGATGGGTCTCAGTTTCTAAAGGCTTACTTGGGTTTGCGTCCTGCTTTTTCATTTTCAAAATGAGCAAAGACATCTTCGTTCTCTTTTATACCACATCTCTAATCTTTTCAGTCTATAGTGGCAGTGTTTCTGCTGATACAAGATTCTTAAGAACTCTGAGTCTCTTATAAGGTATCTCAGAAAAAAACTATTTGATTAGATGAGGTATGTCCACAGATCTTTTCAAGATGAGCTCTTTTCCATTTTTGACTTCTGCTGAAAAGGTTGAAAGGATCTATGAAGTAGGAGTTGTTCCAGGTAAGACTGCATCGAATACCACTAGTAGCAGAAATATAGGCATTATGAACTGGCTCGTCTTTAGAACTGGAAGTCTAAGGAAAGTGAATCAAGATAAATTTGAAGGCAGTTACATCAAGAAGCATCAAAATTAAACTGAAGAAGACTAAGAACAGAAAGAAGTATAAGCAGCATGAGAATCATTGCAGGGCACAGCTAAGGAAAAGACAATTACATCAATAGATTACTTCTAAATAGCAACAATGGAAGCTGGGAGATAATGGTGTATGGGAATCTCTCTAGAACATTCTACCACTCTGTGAATGGCTTCTGTCTCAGACTCACTTCCATCTTTTAATTGCATTTTATTTTGTGAAGACCTTATTTGAAAATTTTCTCTACGCTTTACATAAAGTCTGACATTTCTTGTAACAAGTATAAGAGCAGACAAATGTGTAATGAATTATTTACATTTTGGATAAAT